GTGTGGGGGTGTCCTGGGGGGGGTGGGGTGTCCTGGGGGGTGTGGGGACATGGTCAGGGGGGGTTGGGGGACATCTGGGGACATCCTGGGGGGTTGGGGGACATCTGGGGATGTACTGGGGGGGCTTGGGGACATCCTGGGGGGTGTGGGGACATCCTGGGGGGCGTGGGGACATGGTCAGGGGGGGTGTGGGGTGTCCTGGAGGGTGTGGGGACATTTGGGGATGTCCTGGGGGGTGTGGGGACGTCCTGGGGGGCTTGGGGACATAACTGGGGTGAGTAAACCATGGTGGCCATGGGGACCCAACGATGGTGGCCACAGGGGTGGGGACCCAGTGGTGACCCCCCGGTGTCCCCATGACCCCCCAGTGACCCCTGGTGACCCCCCAGTGACCCCTGGTGACCCCCCAGTGACCCCCGGTGTCCCCATGACCCCCCAGTGACCCCCGGTGACCCCCGGTGACCCCTGGTGACCCCCCAGTGACCCCCAGTGACCCCCCGGTGTCCCCCCAGGGCCAAGTGGCTGACGGAGCCCAACGAGGACGCGGAGGAGCTGTTCCGCATGGTGGGCGAGGTCTTCATCTACTGGTCCAAGTCTCACGTCAGTGGCGCTCCTGGGGGGTCCTGGGGGGCTTTTGGGGGGTCCCGGGGGGTCCCAGGGGGCTTTTGGGGGTCCCTCACCCCCTCTCCGTGTCCCCCCCCCCAGAATTTCAAGCGTGAGGAGCAGAACTTTGTGGTGCAGAACGAGATCAACAACATGTCCTTCCTGACGGCCGACAGCAAGAGCAAGATGGCCAAGGTGGGGCTGGGGACCCCAAAATGACCCTGACCGGGACCCCAAAACCCCCTGGGGCACCCCAAATCCACCCAGGACCCCAAAACCCCCTGGGGCACCCCAAATCCACCCAGGACCCCCAAAACCACCCTGGGGCACCCCAAACACAGCCAGGACCCCCAAACCACCCTGGGGGAACCCCAAATCCACCCAGGACCCCAAAACCACCCTGGGGCACCCCAAATTCACCTGGGAGCTCCAGACCCCCTGGGGGCACCCCAAATTCACCCCAAATCCACCTGGGACCCCCAAACCTCCCCAAACCCCCTGGGGGCACCCCAAACACAGCCGGGACCCCCAGTCCTCCCCAAAATCCCACCTGGAACCGCCCCAAATCCACCCAGGACCCCCAGTTCACCCCAAAATCCAACCTTGGACCCCCAATTCACCCCAAAATCCAACCTTGGACCCCAAATTCACCCCAAAATCCATCCAGGACCCCCAATTCACCCCAAAATCCAACCTTGGACCCCCAATTCACCCCAAAA